GTGTCAACTTCATACACTTAGTTCTTGAGCCGTAAGTCGTCATGCAACGCGTCCCACAAATTCAACTTAAAAGAGTAATATTCCAAAATGGCATATCTTAATTGTGATATCATTATGATTTTGTTGTCACAATGTTACAGTCTAAGATTTAATTGATGAATTTTTTCGACACTTTCTCGCTAATGCTAAATTGATTTTACTTTCCCGCCGACTCTGGAACGCTCTGAACACACGAAGGAAAACTATTGACAAGGAGTTTTTGCGCAACAGGTATTACTTAAAATCAATATTTTAAGAAACGCGGGGTTACTGCTGATACAGGCAAAAGGGACAAAGGGAAAAAAAGATTCATAAAATTCCTAAGAAATTCACTTGACGGCGGAACGGACCTTTCTTTGCAACTGGGCTTGGGATGCTTACAGTTGAGCGGCATGCTTCAATGGACGATGAGCTCATGCTGATACGGCGAAATCCATGACGTCGCGATGAAACAAAGAGAATGTCATGCAATGCTTACGTCTACGAACATGCGTACTTCTCCAATTCGCCATCTACCGCGATCGATCGTTCCTCGGACATACACAGGCTACTTTTGGAAATCAAAAATATAATTTTCAGTTTTTATAGGTGATATACGACATCCATTGCGCGGGATTTTTAACTTATCTTCGATAAAACAAAAAAAAAACTGTAAATGAATCCATGATTTATCAATTTTTGTAACAGCAGATTGAAGAGTATACTTTCGAATATTGCCTCCGTCGAAAGTTCGAATCGCGACATCAACGAGTAGAAGTCGTGCAACTTGAACGTGCTGACGATTTATTGAAACATCGTACAACGTAGGTTTTTACGGTCGATGAACTACTCACCCGTTCCGCCGGCGCATTCCTTCTTGAATTGTAGCAGAACTCGAAAATCGCTATGAGCACAGCGAATGCCAAGCCGCAGAGTAAGACCACAAAGACACCTCCTAGAAAACAATGCAAATCGTCGTTAGATATGTGGCCAGAAGATTTCATTATAGCAGTACAAATATCTCGATTCACAATAATGACTAAAATTTTAATGATTAACTTTCCAGCAAGGTAATTTTTTCGAAAAATTCTTTAAAAAATTATATTTTTTTATCATAGAAATAAATTAGGCACATCTTTACGAATATAAATGTACAATTTTTATTTTTTCATACCGAAATGTAATTGAAAATCACTTGCCCGCGAAAATCGCGGGTTGCGTAAAAAAAATCCAAACGTTCAACCCGCGTAAATTGCAAGTTAAGCAGCTGAACAGTTAAACGATTAAACGATTAAATTTGTATTGTTAAACTATATAAATTTTAACGTTTATATAAAAACGATTTGTAAACGACAAATTTCAGAATATCGAATATAATCCATATATTCAATGTTTTTTTTATTTCAAATAAAATGGTTTAAATTCAATTAAAAAACAAATAAACGAAAATTAAATTAAATTCCATTAAATTCGTATCTCGTATGTTTAATCTTTCAATAATTAATCGCTTTCAATAATTAATCGTGCAGTACTGAAAACTACTGTAACTAATGTTTTTATTTCAGTATATATTTTGTGATCGAGAAATTGTAGAATCGTGAATCTTGTAAAAAAAGAATACAAGAAGACAATAATTGTTTTCACAAGAATAATAAGGTTACAAAGCAATAAAATATGTCTGCGGCTATAACGAGATATTCGTAAGTTACGATTTTAGGACGGAACTTATGACGCATATAATTTAAACCACGCGCTATTCTAGGGAAAGCGTTCACCTATGTTGTCGACGCCCAGAGCGTTTGCTTTACTCTCCTTTCCCTTTTCCGTCCTCATGCAAGTATCCCCGGGACTTTTCCACCATTTGTCATACAGCATCTGAATTTCGCCTTTCTCTTGCAACTCCAGAATCGCTAGAGATATCTTATCTCGCCATGGCGAGCCTGTGGAATATTTGGAGAATCACATACTACTTTGAGGGCGCGCATATATATCGATTTACAATTTGATTGTAAATAGAATCGATTTCTTCTGTTCTATGTGCCACTGAAATCGCACTTTGCTTCTATGGCAAATGTATAAACATGAAGCGTGTAAGCGAAACTGTTTAAGGGGATGCCGGACATGAAAACTTCCGACATAACGTTGACTTTTTTTGCAAAGTTTATGTTTTGTTGCTTGCACAGAATTACAAACGTTTTTACAAAAGTACGTACAAAAATTAATTGGAGCATTGCTCAATATGTGACGAACACGAAAAAAATATGTTTAAATTTAAATTTTGAGCTGTTAGTTAGTGCAATATTTGTTTAATACAAACATTCTGCAGGTTGTACATACCGAAACTGTGGATGCTTCAATCAGGAAAATTTCAAAGATCACTACTACGCTTTTAGAATTTCGTTTCAATACCAAAAAAGATATGAAAAGTTTGCAGAAAAGTTTATGATTATATGTGATTAAGTTTTCCAACAACTATGATAAAGTAGAGCGAAAAATTAGTTCACGGATATTTTTCGAGATAGCACCGTACTTTTATCACACTTTTCACAACGTCCGAATGTACAGAGTGTGTATATATATATATATATATAATTTCCTGAGAGCTTATGCAACTGTTTCCGATTATTCGCAACGACGATAATAACTGAATAAATACGAAGAAATCGTAAAGAAATTATCATAACGGCACGCCCGAGTTGCTTTCCTATGTGTAATAACAATAATTAAATAATAATCAAATAAATTAAATAATAACCGAATAAAGAAGTAATAATACTCGAATATTGAATGGTAGTGATAATATCTGCTCAACAATCGCGTGATAATATCCGCAAGTGGATAAGAAATAATGATGATCGAATAATCGGTAATAACAATATTTGAGTAACGGCTCTAACAAAAACTGAAGGTTCAACAAAGGCTAGGTAAACCGACCGTCGTAACGTCCCGCTCGGGCCGTTGACTGAGCGGCGCTGGGGG